GGGGGTCGGGCCTGTGCGACCCTTTAGAGCCGCCGTGGGACCAGGGCACTGAGCGATGGGGCTCAGCTGTTCGTGGTCCCCGTGGCCCCGTCTCGAAATCGTTAGGTCTGGGCCTTACTCAGTCCCTGAACTTGCGGATTCCTGCTTTAAAATAGTGATGTTTGTGCTTCCTGCTCGATTGTGTCACTGTTCAGGCTAAAAATGCTTGTTTTCCTTATTTGTTTTACTTCTTTGGTTCTTGTGGTGTTGCTGGTAAAAAGTGGTTCTTTTCCCTCTTTTTTTTTAAAAGCTAATTGTGAATAATCAATCCTCTAAGCTTTCACCTTTTATTTTTGTAGTATATACTAGCCAGTCACAAATCTTTTCTTTTGTAAAAGCTCTTTGTCCCTTTCCTGCTATGAGTCTTGACTTGAATTTGTGCCCATTTAAGTTCCAATTACTCTTCTAGACTTCTGTTTGGGCAAGGAGCCTTCTTTCTCAGGTTACTACTCAGAAACCATATCCTGGAAAGAAAAATAGAGATAATTTTGTCCTAAAGAGATGTTTAGGACATTGAGCATGCCATATATTTTTAATGAGCCCAGAGAGATCATGGGTGGTCTCTTGCATTGCTTTTGATGACCTGGGATGTGAGTTGATAATACTTCTGTGGGACACTGTACTTCCGTTTATGTTATACTTGCCTTCTTCAAGTTTCAGTTTAATTCTCCTGCAGGATTATTTACTGAAAGGTAGATCACTTGCTCTTGAGTCTTATTCATGAGAGAAGGCCTTAAGTGGCCTTACACTGCAATAACTAGGAAAATATTGTTCAAAGTAGAAGGTAGAGCATAAAAATCCTTTAAATGTGTTAAATATTTATTAATTTAAGGCAAATGCAGCTTTCTGTCAGTTTGCCTGATAAATAACAATGTGTAATCTGTGGATATAGGATATATTACCTTCCATCAAGGCACTGAATAAAAGGTTGTGCTTGCATTCTGAAAGGACTGTTGCTGTACCTAAAGAGTGTAAATTTAGGGAATTTGTCCACAAAGGATGAGTGCAGAGACTTGATGCCAGCTGCTGCTTTTAGGAATGGTTCTCACCCACTGAAAAAGCCTGCTTTTTCTAGGAGGTAGATAGTAGAGATATATTCCCATTAATTGTTTTCTTCATGGCTTTCTGTAATAGCATGAGAATTACTAACAAGATCCATTAAGAGATGATTATTGAAGATGTTCAAGAATTAACCTTCCTTAATCGCTCTACATGTAAAGCAAAATGAATATGACCTGTGAACTGCAGTAGAGTTAATCTGGTCATTTGCAATCATTAATTAACTGGCATCTTTAATCAATTTCTGGAAGCTGGAAGGTGAGGTGTTCACAAATCAGGTGCCACTGACATGCACCAGCTCTTCCATGACTACGTGGAAGAGATCCAGTCTCTAATTTGAGTGCTTTAAGCTGAATTTTGCTTTTTATTCCTATTTACTCATTTACATTTCCACTGACCACTTTGCTCTCCTGCAGCACTGAACGTACTGGGAAAAAAAACAGCGAAATGCACCCATTTAGATTTCTCACTCGTGTTATCCCTGGTATCTATTCCAAGCACTTCCAGATGGTTGTGCAGGTATGGTTGGTTCTGTGCAAGCTACTCAGTACATGAACACAGTCGTGAACTGGGGCACAAGGAGCTGCCACTGCCAGCCCTGATGGTACCTGAACAGACTTTGTTCATATTCCTTCTTACAGTAGTCAGATTCAATCCTTGCTTGCTTTTTCCATAATTATATAGGGTTTAAGAGTGCATTGTTGTTTATTTCTGTACTCTTTCTGTTTATTTTCGTACTCTTCTGGCATTGGGGTTTTTCAGGTTGGTGGTGGTGTTTTTGGCTTGAGATACTGGTGGCAAATGGAAGGGAGGAGGATCGACTTTAGAAAATCCTATACACCCATAGTCAAGGCTGATCTTTTCAGTCTGGTTCATTGATCATTCCTTTAACTTGATCAAAGCTTACTTTCTTGCAATTAAGAACCTCTGTAAATGACCAATTTACTGGTCGGTGAGTAACAGTTGGCTATTTAGTTTAGCTCTATCACCCTCCTTACTGTAAAGCTGCTTTCTATAAGGAATCGAAGATGAGATTTCTAAAAGACAGGTGGCAGAGGAGGGCCTGGCCTCTCTCCACAAAGAAAGAATAAAAGCTCTCAACAAGACAGGCTTCAGTGGGGTACAGGGGATGGAGCATTTTACACTGCTGTTAGCAGAGCATGGACCAACATTTGTATCAAGTCTTCCTCAGGTTAAAAAAAGTAGGGAGAAATCCTGCTTGAAATAAACACTATTGTATTGCAGTTGCATCCTGGAAGCTGTTGGGAAGTGGTGCCAAGGACTCTAATGCATGACAAAAATACCTTGCCATCAGATAGGGTATAATCTAAATGCTCAGTGGGAACATGGCTTCCAAGTATTGTCCTACAATGTTGTCATTTAGTTGCTGCTCTCCTTAACATAAAAAACATCTGGGTTGAAAACAGAGCGGTGGGACAATCCCTGGCAGTGACACAGTGTCGCAAAGTAATTCTGTGCCAAACGTGTTGACCGCTTCACAAACCAGCCCCTTGAATGCATAAAATGAAGGGAAATAACCAAGAGTCGTTGCTGAAATTATAATTTGCTTTCTCATGTACAGAAACTAAGAACTTAGGGCTTTCTTTGTTCGTAGCGTGCAAACTTTAAGGAAAAGGGCTAAACAAAACATGACAGCTTTTTTTCCTAATCATTGTCATTTTTGTCTAGGTTCATCGAGATGGAGGCTGCCTCCCAGTTTGCCGGTCGGTACAAGAAGGATTTGAGTACAGAAGCCCTCAGAACAAAAGTCGCGCGGAGAAAATCAATGCTTCAGAAGGAGAACAGGCACAAGTTGTTTGAAAAGGGCAGGCGGTTTGGATTGGCAGATGTCAATGTTCAGCCCTTGAAAGAGAGAGGAATTTCTCAATTAAATGAGACAAATGAAGTGTGCTCTCAAGAGAACAGCAGTGTAAAGCAGAGTAAGGAAAGACTTGTTATAAAGCTCTTTTAAAATTGTTTAAACTGTCTTTAAGTAGATTTAGTAACATTATCACAGGAGCCCAATTGTAGCCGACGTTTTCATTTGAAGGAAAGGTTTTAAGATTTAAAACAGAATTCCTACCAGTTCTTCTAACTGTTAAGAAAATAAAGTCTTAATACAGCTTTATCCTTCTCGCTGCTCCTGGGGTATGAATGAGGCTTTACTCTAATTTGTCTGTAGCAGCTAAAGGAAGAATGCATTTTGCTATTAATATTCAATGGGAGGTCTCTTAACGATTGCTTTGTCATTCAGAAATGAAAAACCCTGATCTGAAATCTCATCCAACATAACTGGTGTCTGTTATGTGATTAAAGCGTGCTTAGAAATGGGAAATTGTATGTTATAATTGGATACATATAAATGGGTAAACACATGGTATAATTTTCTTTTAAAAATTGCTAGTTTTTGACAGCTTATCTTTCCTCCCAGAAAATAGGGCCTGCATACGTACTGAATTCTGGCTCTCTGGCTCTCCTGGGTGCTTATGGTCTAAGGAATTCAGTTAATCTTTAAAAATGTTAACAGATTTCTTTAGAAATATTTTCATCTTCAGTATTTTGGTAGTGGAACACTATTGGGGGAAGGAGTGCAATCCCTGTGTAATCCTGTCAAATATGAAAATTAAGAAATTGCTATCTTGATTATCTTCAATGAATTTTAACCTATTAATTTTTCATGGACATGTAATTCAAGTTTGGCATCATATATGAAAGAACAAAACCTTAATAACAAGGTTTTATTCTTTCGTATAACTTCTGCCTCATTTATTCTCAGCCTGAGGCAGACTTTGGTATCTAAAGCCAACCTAAACTTCTGCTTTCAATGACGTTGCAAGTGTTTGAATAGAGAAACTAGTACAAATAAACTAAGTAGCTGAAGTGTTAACTTTAATCCTAGTAACCTTGCAGGAACAGCCTGTACACTGTAAAAAGGATATGAATTTACAGTGTGCTTCAGGTGCAGATTTGGGGAGGTTCATTGGCAAGTTGAAATTTACTATTGAAAACCCTTTTAGTGGGAAGACTTAAAACAGGCAAGCTAATAGGTCAGATGTATGTGCGTTGTAGGACTTTAATTGAAACTTGCAGGCACAGGTTCCAGACAGTCTTCTGCTCTTTGCCTTAGTATGTTCCTCTTCTCTCTTGGAAAACTTTTCTGAAGTTTTCTGACTTGCATATTGTTGACTGAAAAGTACCTTCAATATTTTGTAACGTGTCTATCTCCTATCTTTTTCTTCAGAGCAATCTACAAATGCAGCCACAAAGAGGATTAACGAGCGCAAAGAAATGCTACAGCGCTATAAAGAAGAGAAGGAACTTCGAAAACTGAAAGAGCAAAGAGAGAAAGCAAAGAAGGGTGTGTTCAAAGTTGGGCTATATAGACCAGCCGCGCCTGGATTTCTTTCACGTGTGTCTGAAGATCCTGTAATAGTGAAGCCAAGAGAGCAGGTAATAATAATAATGTTAGATATCTAAATTAAGTATATGTAGTATATGATATTACATTTTCTATTTGTATACAAAATTGTGTATGTTACACAAAATAACCAGTTTATTTTGTACATACCTTATACTTTTTTTAATAATAAGGATCAATCAGGGAGTATTTTGGCTCAGTATTTTAATACAAAGCAAGAAGTAGCACAAGTGATACGTTGATTTTTGTATTTATGACTGTGTTCTAGGTTCAAAAACTGGAATGGCTGATCCACAAATGAAACAGCTAAGTTATTTTAGAACTGGTAATTGTTCCTATTTAGTCCTCTGACTCTGAAAGTTTTTCAGATTACACACTGGACCCATTTTGACTCCTGAGTGCATGGGCACGTTGCTTTTCACACCTAGGTTTCTTGCCTACTGTAACAGAGATGGCAGGAGAGGAGTATGTTAACTCTTGTTTCCTTGGGGATGTTTCTAGGCAACTCCTGCTTTCTCTGGGAGGATTACTCGATCAAAGGCCAAGAACCAAGAAGAGAAAACTGTGATACCAACTGCATCCAAGCACACCACGGTTCGGGTTTGGTTTTTTTTTATATAAACTTCAGCAAATAAATTTAGAGAGAAGGATGCAATTGTTCTCCAGACCATAACTCAGAGTTGTATGCTTACATGTTGAGTGCTGTCTCTAAGGAGGTTTTCCTGGTGAAAAAAGACAAATTAGGTCAGAAAAGCTTTCAGCAAGTTGATAGAATGCACTGTTTATCTACCTGCTTAAAGATGAAGGATTGAGTTAGCCCAGCTCTGATATTAGTTTGAATTCTTGGAGTCTCTGCAGTGACAGATCTGTTACACAGAACTGTTGAAATACTGTGGGTTTTGCTAATTTGACATCTTAACTTCAAAAAGTTGAAATTACATTTGTTTTTGAAAAATCGAAACGTTTAATCTTACATTAATGTATTGAAGACTACCACTGCTGAATTTACTATTTTCCACATGCCAGGCATGGAGCTGTCTGGTTTATTTTGTTGGGGAGTTTTATCAGCAAGAGGCTTTTTGCTGTGTGTTTTCCGTACTATACTCAGCATTATAAATGGGTAAAACCCGTGGCTAAAAATCAGAATCAATATATGGCATTTGTGCAAATTTCTGTCTAATTTTTCCTCAAAGCCTTGTAAATTGAGATGTATTTTGTTGAGAGGCAATTACTGCAGGTATCACCTGTGATTAATCTTCACTGCTCAGAACAGCAGTCAGAGTCAAAATCACTTCAATGTTGGCATGTTTTTACTGTGACTCTTGGCAGTCGCTTCTGGTATTACTCATGTTTCAAAAGTAGGGAGTTTTGAGGAATTTTACCAGCAGTAATCTGTAAAAGAAGCTATAATTTGAATCTATCAGTCTTGCCATACAGAACTTCAGCACATTTGAAGGATTTCCAGCTGTAACCTTGCAAAGGGATGACTGAGTTAACATTGATTTTTATTTTGAAAACTATTTTTTAAAGCATCTAATACGTACTAAGACATTAATTGGCACCTAATTTCATAGTAAACCGAAACTTTATTATTTTTCTTTATTTTTTCTGACAAATTCTTTAATTTTGCATAACATGCAAAACATGTCATGTCAACACATCTAAAATGAGCTATTTTATTTATCCTTAATTTGTCTTTAAATCCTTTTGTGCCAAATTACTTGACCATTTATTTTACTGGAACTTATGATAGATGAAAGAATTTAGGCTACTACATTTCTGGAAATGTGATGCTTCACAAAAACCAATCTTCTCTTGTAGGTCCGCACCACTGGGAATAGTGTGCGCCCTACACAGGCAGGACGTAAGCAGACGAGTACGGACAAAGCAGCTGACAAAGAGAAAGGTATGAAAGTAGAATGATCCCTACAGCTGAATCTGAAAGGACCCTGCTGTTTTATTTTTCTGACTCAATAGTTGTGGCATTGTAAAAGCGAGGGCAAGAAAGACATCCCTAGTACACTTTTGGGTGTAGCAATTGAGTTTTTATGACAACCATTTGTACCTACTATGGCAAGGGCAGCAGCTGGCAGACTAGCAAGTGTGTGGCTTTAGGTATTGCATCTACTTGTCTCTATAGGCTGGGAAAATGGGGTGTAGGATCCTTAATGCCATCCTGGTTACTGATTATTCACCCCAGGAAAGGGAAAAGGAAAAGATCAGTAGGCAGAACTGCATGGCTACTGCTTCAGCATTTGGAGCTGTGCAGAGCTTCTTGTTTGTCTTTAAGAATATCAGATGTAGCACCTGCTGCCTTTGCAGAAGAGCAGTGACCTCACCTGGAAAGATGAATAGCTGATAGAAGTGAAAGTTTCCTTGGTATTGTGGTTGACCTGGAAAAGAGCTGATTGAATCAGCTGTAAATATTTTCAGTGACATCTTCTGTTGATCAGCAGATATGCTACTGTCTGTGGTCTCTAAATGTTAACTGTGTAACTTGGCATTGAGAAAGGTTTGGAAAAGGAAAGCCTTCTGGTAAAGCACATTGGTAAATGTGTGAAACGTTGGAGATGTGGATCAGAAGTTCTAGGTCCTAATGCAGCTGAGGCAATATATGTTTATCTTCTTTAATAAATGACAAGTACAATCTTATGTTCTCATATTTTACAACAGCTCCTTCTGTATCTCTCTAGTTATTAGACTTTCTATGTGACAAGTACATACGTTTCTTAAGAAAACAAAACCCACAACCCATGCCACCTTTGTTAAAGGGAGTAGAATACCTTTGATTAGAAATTCTTCCTGATAGCAGAGTGATGTATGTGCCCTAAGTAGATAAGGCTAAGTCATGTGGAATACAGATGTTAATGCAAGATATTCAGTAATTCAGAGTAAAACTACTCTCGCGTGGCTGACTTAATTAAATCAGCAAGCAGCAAACCTTTATTTAAATAAATTTCAGACATGCCTTCAATGAATGAAGATCTGTTATCAGTGTTTGCTAGAACAAAACTTTTTTTTCCTTGAATCATCATCCACTGGCCTTGATAATGCTTTTTGCTGAATCAAGAACATATGTTGCATGTATTTAAACACTGGTATAAAATGTTAGGGAAGTGAATAATTAGATAAATCAAATGCTATATTTATCTAGTAACTTTTTCCCAACTTGTCAAGCTGCAATTCTGTGAAAGCTACAATGACATTAAAACAGAAAAGGCCTTAACTGTAACTAAGTGTGGATACTAGATTTCAGACAGATATAGAAAGGGAGAGTATGAAGTAAAGAGCTCCTGTTAAATATTTTTGTGCAGGAGAATTCATTTTTTTTACGGAAATTAAAACCAGTACCAAAATACAAAGATGAAGATTATTAAGATGAGTAATAATACAGTGTCGTATTTTATAATGTCAGTTTAAATTCATCTCAATTTTAAGAATATTTTATTAGATTACAGTAAATTTAAACCTTAGAATACTTTCATATAATGACCAGGGCATCACTTTATTATACAGATATGTAATGTATATATGCCAGCTGTGCAAACAACCATGGCAAGTTATTACTCTAGAAAGCTTCATCGGTAAAATGGAGATGATGTTGACTGATTGCAGGGAAGATTTGGAGAAGGGTTCCTTAATCTTAGTACATGGCATCTAGCACACTGGTACCTTGATGCACAGCAAAACCATCTCCAGACAGGATCCTTAAGAGCGTTGCCTTAATGCCAAGGCTGAGCTGTGCTGTCCATGTTTAGCACTGCCCGCACTGAACTGACCAAAAACACCCAAACCCTTGTTGATTCTGGCAAACTAATGCAACTAGTAATTGCCAGTGCACTTTCTGATTTCTACAAAACGTAAACTTTTGGTTATATTACTTGAATGCAGCTTCTCATTAAGCTTTGAAATCTCTGGAATTAACTTTTCTTACAGTGTTGCAGACTGCAGTCCAGACAACCTCAAATGTAAGAATCACCAGAGCAGCCGCCTCTGCAGCTAAGCAGATGCTGAAAACAACAGCTACCGCTGCTACTACTGGTAAGTTAGGCAGTGGATGTAGTCCTGCCTGTGTTGCTCAAGCCTGATACGTATCTGGAATAGTGTGCTGTGAAGAAATGCCACCTACTACTGGATGAGCAAGCAATGGAAACAACATACATACATTTATATGCTGCTGTTAGACTCATTGTCAAGTGATATACTAAGACAGCTCTGTCTTTAGGATCTTGCTTGTATCTCAGGCACTCATTCTGTACAGAAACATATCAGCTTGAACTGTCTTTGCGCGCTATGTTCTGCTGTGTAGCTGTCTCCTTTGAATAGACTGTATGAAATGATGCCAGATTGTCATGTAAGAAAGGAGTAAATACTCTGTCACTTAGACTCTCATCTGGAACTCTGTTACAATATTTATATCAGGATGTTGAAACCAACATTGGACAGTTTCCCATAAAACCCATCAGTAGCCATATGGTAATTATAAACTGAAAGAACAAAAACCAGAACTGGTAAAGGTTTGCCAGTTTGGTGTATCGCTGTTTAAGGACATATGAATATTAAGTCTGTGATGAGGAATGGAAATGTCTGAAAGAGATGACAGCTTATGGTCTTCAGGTCTGGAATTTCTCTTGTCTGAAGGGAAAATTTTTAGTATATATCCTTATTCACAAGAAATTCTCCAGGATGTTTTGCAGGTTCCCTTGTGTTATATAGGACAGAAGTTAAGACTTAGGCTGAAAGCACAGCTTTTTGTTTATCATGTACAATTCACCAACAGAAATCCTGTGCCATATAGAAATTAAAAATCTGAACTCAAATGGACTTGACACAATCTCTTCAACCTTTAAGGAAATAAGATGGCTTTTATTTTTAGTATATGACAACATCTGAAGACTGATGACTTAATGAATCCGTTTTCCTTTCCTGTTGATACATCTCTTAACTGGCAATTAAATCCCAGGCCAGATTTTCTTTTGAACGAACTTTTGCAATTAGGTGTCTGCCCTCTAGCCACCTCCCATTCAAGAAACAAAATGGTTTCTCTCTGTCTTTAACCACTGGACTTGTATAGAAATCTTGCAGTGAAAGATTGTCTTAATCAGATGCCTTTTTGACTGTTAGGAGTTTCTCTCATTCTAGGTAACCAGTCCCAGAGAAAGACAGTGAATGCAGGAAAGCAGAAACAAGCAGTCAAACCTGACATCAAGGAGGTAGGTCATTTAATATTTGAAACTGAAAAGCAATGAAACTGATTTAAGAGCCAGTAACAAAGTGTAGTGTAGCTCAAATATAGTTGTGTTCAAGCACATAAGTAATAAGTTCACTAATAACTAGATTTCAGGATGAAGTTTTATGTCTTTATATTGCCATATTTTAAAAATTAAGATCAAACTTGCTTTGCTTATATGGAAGACTTGATTACTAATTAAGATCTGGAGAATGATTTCAAATAGGACGTTCGTATGTGATATATGTCATGTCTGATGTTTAGCTAGCAGAAAAAAGTAGACATACTCTGAATGTATCCTACTTAGAGACTCTAAAGGCTAAGAAATTAATGCATTTTTAGGTTTTGAACCACCAAGAAATAAAGCTGGAAATGTTATTCTCTGCAAGGTAGATGCAATTTATCACAATTAAAGGCAGTCATTGTGGTTCTCAGTGTCACTGCTGTAACAAAGCTTTTCTACTCCTACATAGAGACAGGAGGATATGAATTCACCATAGCCCTCCAACCCAGATTCCCAAATAATTCCCATATGAGTTCATGTGCTGACATTCCTGTGCGAGCACTATCAATGATTTCTCTCCTCCTTTGCCCTCCACCATTCTCTCTCACCTTGTGCCTCCCATCTCCGTCCCTGTCTCCATAACTGCAGCTGTGCTCTGGTATTGTCTTGGTGCAATCATGCACAAACACTGACAAGGGGTAAGAAGTAGTTACACCTTTATGAAGATAAGTACCTCTTCACTGGCAAGACTTGCTTTGTGCTGCCTGCTGGTAAACTCTTGCTGTAACCTCAGTCATCTCTTTACGAGAAGTGTGTTGAAAGTTGAATTCAAGGCTTACATTCCAAGCAGGGATATCTAGAGTATAACAAGACTTTCAACGGATTGAAGATGCATATTTCTGGAAAAACAATCTAAGCTCTTTAGGCTGGTTTGAGGTAACAATACCTCAATATAGGTATCTCAAAGTCCCCCAGAACATGTATCTAGTCACTCATCTCATAGGAATGTGGACTCAACATATTAATTAACTTTCTCCTCTTTAAATGACATAACTGCACTTGTATTCTCCTTGTCTTGGGCTACATTCCTTAGGTATCAGCTTATTTATCTTGTTCTTCACTCTTTGGATTAGAGCATGTGTATAAACTGGGATTATTCAACAGGCCCAGTTGGATTTGGAGCCAGTCATTCTGCTCTTGAGGAGCTTATCACCTTAAAGCATTTTTTCTAGCAGTGAGAGTAAGCGTTTGCTAATTTTAATTACTTTTTTTGTTAGGTGAGGTGTTCTGCTGCTTTAGCCCCTTCAGTGGGTTGTTGCATTCCTCATAGTGAAGTGTTGCTAGAATGATTTGCAGGTGTCAAAACCGGTTGAGCCTATTGGTAAATCATGACTTCTGTACACATGTGCAACTGTAGAAAGCAACTTAGCTGAAACTGCTCCCTTCCCGATGGCTTTCAGTCAGTCACGTCATAATTCAGCCCATGGCTGCAGTAAACACTTCATTGATTTGATAACGTAGTGTTTGCTTTGTCTACTTGTGCTGTTACAGGTAATTCCTTCATCAAAACATGAAGTGGATAAAAATGCCCAACTGGATCCAGCAGTGAAGGATTCTGCTGATGATTTTGAACATTCAGCGACAGCAGAACTTCAACAGGAACACACCGCAGCCGAAAACAAAACTGATTCTGTTCCAGGGAGACCCAGAACACGCTCTTTTGCTCCTCAAAACTTTGTGTTTCAGCCATTAAATGGATTAGCAACCTACAAGGTTACGCCCATGACTCCTTCTAGGGCAAATGCCTTTTTGACACCTAATGCCTTCTGGGATTTTTCGACTTCTCCAGTGTAAGATTCTTTCTTCTAATGGTCTGAAATGCAAGTGAACCTCTCTGTGATAATAGAGAAAACATCTTTCTATAGAGAGATTCCCCGTGCAGTGAACTGTTGTTCTGCTGAAACATCTGATCATCATGGTTGCTATCTTTGCTTAAATGTGGACTTGATATGACACCAAAGAAAGCAATATAATCCACAGTTCTGTCTGTCTTAGAAGTAGAGCAGTTACATATATTTGAGACTGTGCTGTATGTATATCCCTGCACAGATTTATTCATGTTATTAGTATTTTCTTGAGTTCTCTAGGGCTGTGTGTAGAACTGCCTTCTAAATTGTGCATTTTTGTGTATTTGGTTGTATTTGACACCAGTTTCTCAACGTGTCTTTAACTCTGTACTTTTTGTTTGTTTCCAGTAATATAATTGAAAAATCCAGTGAAACTAAGGAACAAGAGTCTAATTTAAAAACTCATGTTTCACCTGCTGACATAAGCATTCAAGAACAGCAAATCACTGCAAGTCTGAAAGAAGAAAAAGGTAGGGAGTTCACATTTAGTTTGTGGTTGTGCTGTTTTTAGTTTTCACCAGATTCTGAACACAGGCCTTTCATATTTTCCAGCAAGTGAATCAGATGAGAAAATGTCCATTCAGACATCAGAGGAAACAATTCCTGTCTCTGTAGATACAACAGCGCTTGAAATGAAGTCAGTTGATATAAGAGAGCAGGAGCATGATGTGCCCTATTTCAGGTTTGTGTTCATTTGTTTCACTTCCCTGTTCTGAGATCCTTCACGTGGGTAAGGATGAGCTAACGGTGGTTGGTATCTGTCAGCAGTGACCTGAGTGAGCACACAGTCCTGTCTTCCCTTTTGTATTAGTGCAAGTAAAGAATATAAAATTCTGGAGACTAATATCTTGTCCTGTGGAGCGCAATAGAAAAGTACACAGTAGGAAAGAAATTGCATCTCAACTAGTCAGCAAATTAAAACAGTAATGGCTTCTGCTCGAAGGCAGTGGAGCTTCTCTGAGAGCAAAAGCACAGAAACCATTAACAGCCACAAGCAGTGACAGCAGTTAGAACATTCTCCAAAACCCCCTTTTTTTTCCTCTCCCTTTATTTTTAGGAATATTCTGCAGTCTGAGACAGAGAAGCTGATGTCTCAGTGCCTTCAGTGGGATGGAAAAATGGAGTTGGACATTCCAGAGGATGGTAAGATTAAACAGTAATAGGCACTGGAAGGGGTGTTACAGTAACTGAAGGGGACAGAGGGAAATACATGTGTCTGTATTTGCAAAATAGCATGGTCTACAGCACTTAGTACAACTTGTGTTAGGTAAAGTTTAGCGTTTTATCTGCCTCAAGACAAAAAGGCATACTTTATCTCTACAAATACTAAAACTTACATGTGGTACTTGACAGTGGTTGACACTAGAGTGAACGAAGTGCCTATCGATACAGTTTTTCTCTTATTAGTTTTAATTGCATTTAAATGTATGAATTTTAACTAATCTGACTTTTTAAGAGTAAAGTTAGGTTTTAACGTAGACTGTGTCCTTATCTGGGAAAATAAGATGGCTTGTAAATGCTTATCTTACAGACTTACAGAGACAGCAATGTTTTTTGAAAGAAGCAAGTTAAAGCAGGTGTGCTTAGTCTGAATTGTACTGCAAGTCTGCAATAGATGAATGTAGTTCAAACAAATTCTAGACTCCTCAAATACTTACTTAAAACAATTGTGAAATGATGGATTGTTTCAAGATGTATTTACTTTGTTTTCCTGTTGCTAACAGCTAAAGATCTGATTCGCACCACAGTTGGTCAGACAAGACTGCTTATAGCAGAAAGGTTTAAACAGTTTGAAAGCCTGGTGGATAACTGTGAGTTTAAACGGGGTGAAAAGGAAACGACATGTGCAGACTTAGATGGATTTTGGGACATGGTTAATTTTCAGGTATGTACTTGCACGTTAACTTGCATTATAGAATAAAATCAACAGGGTTATTTACAAGCAATGGGTTGAAAATAGTCTTTTGGTTTTTTGAATATTCAGATTCTGATTTTTTTTTCAATATATATATTAAAAACACAGATCCCTGTTCAAGACTTTCTGACAGTGAATAGTACCAGTTGGTATACTATAATTTATCGTTCATGGACCTGTTCATCTGTTGTTTTGTGGCCTCTGTATTTTGTTTTTATCTGGAATGAAGGTGTGTAGGCCAGTCTCATTCTGGTTTGGAGGGAGGATACAATCATGATGTCTACCTGGAAAATTCCTGGAGGTCACCTGAAAAGTAGGATTTCTGTGCTTCTGTATGAGAATAATGCAGAAACTACAGTGACCTTATTTAGGGGTGAGCTTAGGTGGTAGAAAACATTCATCTCTCTTTCTCCGATGTTTCCATTGATTTCAGAATGAAGTATGATATTCTAAAAGATCAAAATAGCTCTTGACAGCATTTGTAAGTCAGCATTCAACAGAGGAACTCGTGACTGGCTAAATTAAATGCAAAGATGGATTTATTTTTAAGGTCCTAGTCATAGGTCTTGAATTCCTTCCAGAAAGTGTAAGGGCTTGATCTGTTTTGTCAGAGATATTTGAGGAGAGCTTTGTTAGAACCAGCAACATGAAAGACATGGTTTGCCTACGCCTGCTGTGTACCTGGGAGCAGCTCAAGTTTCTCCTGAGCATCCTTTTCCCTCAGATAAACTTGGTGTCACAGAATTGCCAGCTCTGTCCCTTTTGATTTAGGTTTTTTTTTGTTTGTGTACTCTGAGTTTCAGGAAGGACATAAAGGACTTGTCACCTCAGTGACTGCTGTGCTGTACACAAGCCTTGTGTGGCCAAGTGACTCCATTGCAGAGCCTGAGGAGGCCAAGGCCTGTTTCATACTTAAAATCAGTTGAAGAACCTAAATGCATAACTGTGCTTAAATTTGTTACTTGATTTTATGAAACGCTGTTCTACTGTGAATCTGAGAAGTCGTGAGGATTAAACCTGAACTTTTCTGGGCTTTCCAATAGATCGAAGATGTGAATAAAAAATTTGATCATCTGAAGAAGCTTCAAGACAATGAGTGGCAACCACTTGATGTGCCAAGCAAAGCAATTGTCAAGGTATGAATAGCCCTAAAATGTGTTTCCTAAAAGCATCAAGATGCGACAATGTGTTGAGACATCCAAAATAACTAGTAAGCTGCTATTGCAGTAATGAATACTCTTCTTAAATGGAAGTTCCTTCTGAAGCCCTACTCAGCTGGCTTCTTTAGATGTTAAAGTTGAAAAACTCAGTGAAATTCCTCTCAAGGAGCACCCTTCTCCCTCGCATCACCCAAGTGCGCTTGCATTGGTTCTTGTTTGCAATGTTAGTTCCCTCTTTTGGCTAGGAAAATTAGAACTAAGAATTAACAATTACTCTTCTGGGGTCGTTTGGACTCTTTGCTAGTAAGGTAAGTCTGTTAAGTTTAGAGTAGAAATTGACCCTTTGGACGCAGAGCACTTTCTCTGGGCCACTGGTGTTGCACTGATGCAACGGAAAGGGAAACCACACAGGAATTTGACAGCAACTGCCAGTTTTGAGCTGAGTGCTAAATTATAATGGTGTCCCATTAAGACAGCACTGTGGGTAGCACTAAACTACTAATTCTCTAAGCATAAATGGATCTGAGACTATCCAGAAATAGGTTATTACTTGTTGCAAAATAGGCTTTATTGTAAGGTTTTTTTATCTACTCTTTGGTTTGGAATATATAATTGCTTCTAATGATTGAATGTCAAGTCATAAGCCAAAACCCAATCCAGTTGCTTGAGACTGCTCAACTGACCATAAAAACAATACGAAGGACGGTAAGAAACTCCAGGCACAGGGAACTGGAGGGAATGTGGTCTGAGCTGACCATAAATGTCAGAACTCTACAGATGGTACAAGACACAAACCTTTCTGTGAAAAGTTGAGTGCCAGGAGAGACTTCACTGTCTGTCCTGCAGTCGCTCTGTCTCCCTGCCACTAGGAGTCCCTGCATCCCACTGTTTTCAGAAATGGTAACTGGATTTGTTAGGAAAAAGAGTTGTACTGAGTATTTCTGAACTGTGGACTCCACATGAAAAAACCTTAATATGGTCATCACAAGCTACCTTTAATCGCCGAATGGCAATCCAAGGCATTTGGGAGATGAACCAGAGACCTTGTCTTCAGCACATGCGTTGCCTGTTACTATCTCTACGTGTGGCTGGCAGCTGTGCAGGTGTTCATGTGCAATGGCTTCTATCTGAAGCTTCCAGATGTGACCCAAACTTTCATACAATTTCAGAAAAGTACTATTCCAAATGGAGTGTCTAAACCAAAGCTGGGAGCGGCTGGGAGAGCTGCTGCCCGAAACCGGCTTGCTGCTGTAAAAGCAGCTATGAGGGACAAAATGAAGCATGATGGAGCTGCTGAATGTACGGATAAGGAGAAGCTACCAGAAGTAGAAAAAGTGGTTTTTGAAGCGGGATTTTTCAGAATTGAAAGCCCTGTGAAAACTGTTACAGGTGGGTGAAGCTAAATCGTGATTTCTGTGCCTGAAAGTACTGAAGAGTTTAACGAATGTCGTTGGGAGAGGGATTGCACTGTTTATCCTGGATACAACTCTGGTACTGGACGCAATATTTCAACTGGTGGTTAATTACGTCAGGGATCCAAAGTAAACTGTTCTGTATGAGCACACTGATTTGAGTGATTATGGCAACACGAAATCCCTGCTTAGAGTGGTAAAAGCGGCTGGTTCATGTTTTGTCGGCATGTGTTTAACAACGAGGTTTTAATCTGTGCGTTCCCAAACTTAGCTGATGAACCTGTTCATCACAGTCGGTGCAGGCTAATCGTCTCTTTAAGACAGGAATTGGGATGTTTTGAACTAAATCTCTTGCAGTGCTGTCTTCAAAGCTGCAAATAAAGTACCTGTACTCTGTGTCGATGTTCAACAAGGTTGTGACAGAATTGCAGTGTGCTGTAAAAGCTGTTTAATAGGGGTTGCTTTAGCATCTGCTCAAAATATGACTTTATTTTCAGTATCTATCTTATTGCAATTTCTGAAGGCAGTATTTTTGGTAACCTTTGACTATTTGTGAGCCATTCTGCTTCTCTCCCATTTCTAGTTCGTAAGTGGACTTTGAATTTCCCAGTTTATTCCCTAGCAATTTTTTTGCATGCCTCTTGTTAGTACATGAGACCTCCTGAAAAGCTCTGAGCAACACCTGGGTTTGAGCAGGCTCTAGCAGAGAATCAATTCTGAACCTGTGCCTTTTCAATTCTATTAAAATGATCTAATGTGAAGGATAGAAATTGAACATCTGGTGAAAGCTGTCATTGTCTTCCTAACAGCAAGTCTCATTATTTCAGGTTCTGTGTGAAGGGATAGTCCTTACTAAATTGCTTACCTGGAGTTAGGGTAGTTTTGGAACTTACTGATCTACTCTTGTCACTTTTTTCAATTTCTCCTTGCAGTGTATATAAGATTTCAATATAATATTTGTACAAGATATTTCAGCAAGCAGGAAACAATAGTTATTCCTAGCCAGAGTAAAAATAAAAAACCCTAAACAGTTAATTCCATGTTTTGGGAATTGCTGTAGTAACGAAACATTAAATACGTTTTTCCAGGCTTGCTTTCCAAGACATCTCGCAGATCTTCCCAGCGAGCTTCAGGAAAGCTGGCAACTCCAAGACCATCCAGTAGAGCTTCGCTTCGGAGCGTCACTTCTGCTCTCTGTGACCCCGAGGATGCCGCAGCAAAACAAGCAACACCCGTGCTTAGTGGCTTCCACCCAGCACAAAGTTTGAAAATGCACCAGTTTCCCACTGAAAAAGCTCCCCCACTGGAAAAACTCCCTGGTGGTTTTCTTGAACAAAGGTAGATGTGAAGGCAACTCTTTATTTGTACACAGTTTATGATGTTATAGTTCTAAGTGAAAGAATTAATATCAATACCCATTAAATGTTACCTTCCAATTTGGCAGTCCTAGACGTTGCAAATTCCTTGTGTCTTTCCCTTCCCTCAAGCAAATATTAAAGAGCTTTGCCCAAATGTACTTTCAGTGCTGGGTTAGAATTTTATATTTTTGCCCAGAAAATGTGATACAGCTGATGAGTGCCAAACAAGCAAGCATAACTGTGGAACAAATTGCAGAATCAGTTGGGTAAGACAAAAGCTGATTAATGAGGAGGATTGAGAAGAATGAAAACATTTTTGTTTCCCTTTCAGTGTTTCTGTAGTTGCAGAAGAACACTGTCCTGTTGCTGGCACAACAGAGGGATCTAAGGTAAGTCATGCATAGTTCATGTATGTGCTTTAATTATGTTATTATTAGCAAAAAAAATAAATAAATAAATTAGCCCCAGACACACGGATTTCTGATCAAATCAGAGGATACCTTCTGTATCCCTCAGGCTGGTGCTTTTCCCTTCTCACTATGGACATAGACAGGGACTGCTGCAGTTTGGGGACTTTGTCTAGCTCCTTGGGAGCTCTTTTTTGGAGATCCTGTTGGCTGCTGTGTGATACAGAACAAGAACATCCTTTAGTACTTTTCATTGGTACTAGAGCGTCTTAGTTTGTTCATGCTTGGATCTACGTGCCTGTTAACGCATGGCTACAGCAGTCCTTTCTGTTTTCATCTATGTAGTATATATATTTTTTTAAAAAATCTTGATTACTAATTTGTTCTTACACCTTTTACTTAATCCTTTCCCTCTCAAATGAGAAATTCCCTGTTGGTGATGCCACTCTCTGGGAGAAACTGCAGTAATCTTTAACTTTCAGTATTGCCAAAGGGTTTTCCCTGAGGTAAAGTCTTCTTAGAGAACCTCATCACCACCTCCAACTGCCTCAAGGGAGCTTGTAGACAGGTGGGTGCTGGGCTCTTCTCCCAGGTGATGGGGAATAGAACAAGGGGAAACGGCACCAAGCTGTGCCAAGGGAGGTTCAGGTTAGAGATAAGGAGGAAGTTCTTTACTGAGAGGGTCGTCAGAAGCTGGAACAGGCTGCCCAGGGAGGTGGTGGAGTCACCATCCCTGGATGTGTTTAAAGAGCGGGTAGACGAGGTACTTGGGGATATGGTTTAGGGGGTAGACAGGAGCGGTTGGACGTGATGATCTCAGAGGGCTTTTCCAACCGAGCGATTCTGTGATTCTGTGTGATTCTGTGATAGAGAACACCCTTCTAATGTTTTTACCACTTTTAAGTTCAAAATCTTCTTTATACTCTCTAAGAGATTGTCAAGCTTACAAGGGTATTTGGGAAATGGTTTGTGTGAAATGGATCACAGTGTTAAGCTGTGAGCCTTGTCCTGCCTGTCCTTTATAAAGGTTAAAATGCTGTCCCTTCTGAATTGCCCATAAAACGTGGAGATCAGATGTGTGGATTGGTTTGATGTACCAGGGACATTCTGGTTTCTGTAAACTCGCTTCCACCTTCGTGCTTTCTGCATCAAACTCTGACAGAATTCCTTTTATTGCAGACAAAACAGAAAAATAAGAAAGCTTCCTAGTGCCATAGGTGCTGCCTCATGCCTGCCTGATGTCACTGGTGCTTTCCTTTTGGATGAGAAGCAAATCCAGCTGCTGCAGACATCTTGGCCTCCCAGAGGGCTTGGAACAGTGAGAATTTCTGTTTTTCAGGTGCTGGAGAATTCTGGCAGTGAACTAAAAGCAATGGATGGCATGGAGGAGATGGAGCTCTCTGCTGCTGACCAGCAAGGGCAAGACGTTGTCATGTGTGGTCCGGAGGAGACCTGCACAGAGCCCAACGTTGTGCAGTCTGGAGAACCAAAAATACATCAAACAGGTACAGATCTTAGAGCTCCTTGGTGTGGTTTGTGCGGTATTCCCGGGTCCTCATGTTTATTCTAAAATTTGATGGCAGTCTAAATATTTTTGCAATCGCTGTCTTTGGAGCTCGGTTAATCTCTGCAAGCTGTTAGCAAAACCGACTTCAGCTTGTGTGACTGACCCGTGTGTTGCACACGAGCAAACAGCACCCCTCAGGTTTTCCAGTCAAGTTTCCATGTGATACGTGAAGGAGAAACCTGATGTAAAAGGCTGGGTTGGTTTTGATTTTCTTTTCAGTAAATCTAGCAAACGATGCTGCTTTTTCTTTTCCAGCTTTGGCAGTGTCAAACTAACTTAAATAAAAAAAAATAATCCAATATTCTTATTATTTAGATGCTTCATGTAATGATTCAACACCCACTGGCAGAAGTCCTTTTGATGTGGTAAGTTGACCTTCAGGCTTGACTAAGCCAGTCTGCGTGTTACAGCACTGGGAACCTTCCCTACAGAATCAGTTACTGCACAGAGTAAATTAAACTCTGTAAAATGTTATCAAGCCAATTCATATAACTTATAAATACAAGCCACGTTTCCCATCTCCCTGCTTGGGCTCACGCTGTGATTCTTTATTGCATATGAGTGTAAGATGAATCAATATATTTGTAGCAGACAAATGTCTGATTCTTATCAGATTGTTCCTTTAAATTGTACTACTTGGGTATTTCCTAGTAAACATTTACTAACGTAACGAAAGGCCTGGCCTTTTTTCCTCCGCTTTCCTCTCGAAGTCTTTCAGGGCTGTCCCATCTCTTTTTTTTCTTATAGCTTTAACTTCTAAAGCTGAAAGTGAGATTTAACAGGGAAATCGGGTGTGCAAACACTTCCAAATTGTTAAAAGCATTTGGGTGTAGAGTTTCTTAGGTCTCGTGAAAAATCCTCTTTATAATATGAATCACAGAGACAGGAGAGTTTGCCACTAGCTTGTTTCACGGGTCGTTGCAGTGCAGTTTTCCTCAGACACTTACCCACACTGTGATTTCTCCCCCAGCCCATGCTGGATGCTGAGCTCCCCTTCACTCCAGTCAAGAGCAGAGCCCAGACACTTGCAGCAGCTGAAGCATTCGCTGACCTGATTGTGTTTTCTCCCCTTTCTTCCTCTGGGGGAAAATGAAGAGTGACTTGAAATTCCAAATGTGTATATTATGTTAACAAAAACACCACAGAGGATATCTGGAATATGGTCTTTTACCTTTGAACTGTTCCGAGTGCATAAATATCTGTAGTTATTTTGCAGTGGAACTTACTTTACTATTTTTTAATGTTTCCTTGTGCAGTCCTCGTGCACTGTAAGTATTGCTGTGTATTAGTAGCAAGTGGTTTGCTGGTTGTACTTGCTGTGTTCAATGATTGCGTATTCTGACTACAACTTGAAATACTTTTATTTGTGTAGAATTTCATGTATTTTCTGTCTGCTTCAAGTTGTAAAACTGTTCATCTTTAAGCTTTTCTGTCCTGACTTTCCTTACTGCTATAAGATGCCTATCAGAGTTGCTGTACCCACGCCCTATTTTGGGTGTGAAGGCACTTCCTGGGGGTACAGCTCAGCCTCTTGCCTCCCCCAGAGCACTGATTCCTCCCCAATTGCTGGTGTGAGGGTACCACTGCACCCTTGTGCTCCCGTATCCTGTGTGTGAAAGCTCTGCCTGATCAGCTGTGACAGGATGTGATGGGTGTCACTCTTCCCTGTGGGCGCCTTCCTGGTGTTTAACCATCAGTTGCTCCATAATCTCAGAACAAGGATTTCAAAGTCCGATAATAACTTTTTCTGGTGAAGTATTAAAATAAGCCTTGATTATTATTTCCTTCAAGGACGCAGTTATCTGTTGAGTATCTTGTGTACCTTCAAGTGAAACCCTATTCTCTCATTGCTTTTTAATGTGGAAAACTCTTACCTTTCTCTGAACACTTGACATGTTCACCTCTTCTTGCATCTTGTTCCTCATGCTTCTCTTATCTGGACTGTAATACATTTATGCATAAGAAGAGTGTCTTTTATGTATGTATATATATTCTATATTGGAGTAGTAGAGTACCTCCAGTTGCTGTATTTTTAACAAATACCTGACTGCTTCCTTGTAAATGCTGACCTTAGTGTAATACACACATTCTTCCACCAGCCTTTATTTCCGAGCTAATTCAAATCCCTCTGCAGAAAGCATTGCCACTGCAGCTGGAGGAGCTCATCCAACTTAAAATATAACCTGGAAGCTGTGTTCTGCTTGTACTGAAATAAATGGAGGAAGCTGATGTGCCTTAGAGTTACTGTGCCGGTATCAACTTTCTTCATTACTAAACTTCAGTTATTGACTCATCTGCTCTGCTCAGTCATCAGCACCACAAGGGAGAGTGGTAATGAGGGATTTCTGACATTATATTTAATATTTTACAGTAAACATTTAAGCAGATGTTAGCAGTGTGCTGATCTAGGCTACTGCATCTGTTGGAAATATCAACGCTCTGCTGCTTGTAACTTTGGTGTCTTCCAGTGTAAGTGAAATGACTGTTATAAAAGAGCATGAGATGCCAAAGAAATCCTTGAACAGTTCAGTGGTGGCTATTGCACTGTTCTTGTTTTGCAGACACGACTCGAATGACTCACAGCAAAGGGAATGTACTTCTTTTTTTTGTTTTTAACCAGCCTGACTCATGAGGTGAATTTGCCAATAAACCTCCCCACCCTTGAAACCAGTCCTGACTCACACAGAAGTGATAAGGGCAGAGGAGCGCAAGGCTCGTGACCCATTCCATGGAGTCCATAACACGTGGGTACACTGAATCTCTCTTGGGAGGGAGGTGCATTCAGAATACACTGAGTTGGGCCACCAAAGGGGCAGAATGGGCCTTTGAGATGAAGGACAAGGGTAACTTTTCTAGCCAAGGTCTCCCCAGAGCCTTCTCTTCTCCAGGCTGAACAGCCCCAACTCTCTCAGCCTGGCCTCATAGTGGAGGTGTTCCAGCCTCCTGAGCATCTTTGTGGCCTCCTCTGGACCTGCTCCAACAGCTCCATGTCCTCATGTTGGGTGCCCCAGAACTGGACACAGCACTGCAGGTGGGGTCTCATGAGAGCAGAGTAGAGGGGCAGAATCCCCTCCCTCACCCTGCTGGCCACACTTCTTGTGATGCAGCCCAGGATGCAGTTTGCAGTGCTGTGAGCACACATTGCTGGCTCATGTTGAGCTTCTTATCAACTAACACCCCCCCAACTCCTCCTCAGTGCTGCCCTCAATTCATTCTCCACCCAACCTGTACTTGTGCTTGGGGCTGCCCCACCTTGCGCTTGGCCTTGGCTAGAATCACACCACGGTTTGGGTTCAAGGGACCTTAAAGCTCATCTGGTCCAACCCCTCCTTGTGCAGGGACACCTCCACCAGCCCAGGCTGCTCCAGGCCCCATCCAACCTGGCCTTGGGCACTGCCAGGGAGGGGGCATCCACAGCTTCTCTGGGCAACCTGGGCCAGGGCCTCACCACCTCACAGGGAAGGATTTCTTCCTAATATCCAGTCTAAATCTCCCCTTTTCCAGTTTAAAACCATCCCTGCTTTGTTCTATCGCTACCCACCCTTGTAAGAAGCCTCTCCCCAGCTTTCCTGTAGGACCCCTTCAGGAACTGGAAGACTGCAATAAGGTCTCCTGTCTCCAGCAAGAATTCAGATACATCCACATTTGAACTCAGCTTGCTGGAGAGTTTTGTGTCTTTTGAGAACTTATTGAAAGCAAATTTTACTTGTGAAAGTATGTTTTATTACCTCAAAGTATTCATGTAAGAAGGCACTTCTGTTACAGCTACATCAAGAGAGCTAGATTTGCATTACCATCAGCCCACCGCGGTCAGATCATGGTGGGCACGACGCTGGTGAGGGTGATGTCCCCAGCAATGCACAGCTTGGTGATCTCGTTCAGCTTCTTCTCCCGAAAGCTGTACTGCAGCAAGTGAGCATCGTTCACCGCCACCTTGAAGTGATCCACCTCGCAAAGGATCTGGAGCTGAAAGAAAAACCCAGAAGACATCCATCGGGTTTGTTTCAGGAAGAGGTTTTTAAGCCGCAGGCTCGAGCAGGCTGGCGCTGGCTGAAGGTTGCTGCCAGCTGCGGCCAGCCCGGTGGCACGTGGATGAGCTGGCGTGGCAACTCTCACCCCGGTGACCTCCACCTTCTCCAAAACTGCTGTTCTCTTCCTCCTTCTTGTTTTACCCCAGAGCTTCTGTCTCCTCAGGACCATGACCGCGTTTTCAGGCGATACCATACGGTTTGCACAGCGAGAGCTGAGTTCAGAGGTTTTGGGGGAAATGCTTTATAGAAACCTGCCTGACAACTGCTGCAGAGTGACAGCATAGACAAGAATTTAATAATAAATGGGGATAACAGAAGTGGGGAGAAGTTACACCCTGGGCACCCAGACCTGCAGGAGGAGGCTGGAGTTGGGCTATGGTGCTATAGGACCTGGACAAGGAAAGCACATGGGGCAACCGCCCCAAAAACACCTCTGGGAGCTGATTCCCATGCAAAAGCATCAAGGTCTCCAGTGAGCCTTGTCACTGAGCCTGACCAAACGATGGCAGCACAACAAGACTGAGTTTTGGGGGCGGTTTTGTTACCTTGAAGGGTTTTCCGGCTTCAAACGGAAACCTGGGAGCTGTCCTCTCCTCCCTTCCCCAGTTACTCCCGAACATGGAGTTACAGACGATGACTTTCTTGTTGTCTTCCCTGAAGCGGGGATTGAAGTGGAAGGCAATGTCGCTCCCTTTCTTGAAATCCAGAGAAAACCTGCCAAGGCAATAACGGATGTGCTGCTTTTTCTATGAAAGCCCAGGGCCCCAAAACACAGACCCTGATAGGCAATGAGATGGCATTTACACACTTATTTTGTCTGATATTTGATTTTACACCAGGCAAGTGCTATTCAGGAATGGAAAGCAAATTTGAGCCCCCCCCGCTCTGTCCAGCAGTAAGCACTGAAAACTAAACCAAAGTGACCAACTTTGTTTCCACTAAATCTGGTGCTGTAGTCTCTGCAGAAATGCAGCTTTCCTGAACAGAAAACTGACTGCGATTCTATCCCAGTTAAACCAGGACACCCACAGAAACCCCCCGCCCGTGGTGCTGGACACCCCCGGTACCTGTTTGCGTTGGGGTTGACGGTCCCCGTGATGGTTATGAGCAGCCGAGGGACGAGTCCTGCCTGCAGGGGCAGCTCGAAGGGGACTTTCTGGGAGACAACGGGGATTTGGTGTTAGCAAAAAAGCACGTCGAAAGACAAATTCTCATGCACAGGCTGGGTCACAGTGTGACAACACACTGGGACGTCCCCATGACACAGTGACCACCCACGCCAACCCCCCTGGGGACAGCCAGCCCCGTGTCCCTCCCGGGACCAAGCAAAATCAGGCACTGAAGGCACAGAAACCATTATAAAACGATTACCATGGGAGGAGCCGGTCCCCCCTGCGGATGAGGGGTCCCAAATCCAGGGCCGCTGAGCGGCTGTCCCGGGGCAGGATATGCCCCTGGTCCTGCTGCCGCTGCAGGGAATGCTCCGGGTGCTCCTGGGTATGGTCCTGCTCCTCCTGGGTACGCTCCCGGCACTCCGGGATACATCCCTGGTGCCGCTGGTGGAAAGGTCCCAGGAGGGCCGGGGTAGGCTGGGAATGCCCCAGGAGCCGGCGGCTGCATCCCCCAGGGCCAGCCTTGGGCCGGGGGCGCCGAGGGGTTGGGGTTGTTGTTGGCGGGCAACGCATCGGATAACTGGGGACAGAAGGGAGAGGAGGGGGGTTAAGGTGGGTGACACCGGTCCTGGGGCCACCTTGAGTCCTCCAACATCTGCCGTGGCCTTCAGTGGGCGCCAAGGGCAAGAGCTCAATGGCCCCTGAGCACCGAGGGGGATTGAGTGCCTGGGCTGAGGTTTCCAGAAAACCAGTAAGTTCCAGTGTAACTGGAGCAGAAACCAGTAAGTTCCAGTGCAACCGGAGCGGATTTGGGGAGTTACACAGATCATCGATGCCGCGCTCCCACCCCTGCCTTGCTTCAAGTCAAGGCAACAACCACAGCCCCCGCTTCGTGTTGTGTTTAAAGAAATCCATACTTACAGAGAAACCGCCCGACATTTTGCCTAAAACGGAAAGACAAAAGTTGCTTAAGTCAGTTTTACTGTACACACCATCCCAAAACATAGAGATTTGTATTTGTAATGAAGAGTTACAGATTATAGCAAAAAAGGGCTGGAAACTGGGAAGTCCCCATGGGTTTTTCACCCAGGTCTTGCTCTCTGCTGGCGGGGAAGCACCGCGCAGCATCGCAGCCCACGCGAGCACCCCTGGCCTCCAAAAACCACGGGGCGCTGTGGACCCCTGCATTTGAGCTACACGGAAAATGCCTGTGCCAGGTCTCAGAAGCCAGGAAGACCGACCCCAGCCTCACAACACTTTTTATAAAGAAAAATAAACCAGAGGGGCTCACCAAGGGGGGTGAGCTGCTCCCTCTGCCTCCAGCAAAACCGCCCTTCAGCCAGTGCCCCATTGTCACCCCGGCTATTTGGGCAGCAAGGCCATTTCTGGGAGGGTAACAGCAGCACCACCCAAGTCACGAGTGAGTTTTTGTCCTTCACACCAGTGTTGCTCATTTCCCCATCCCCAAGGCGTCATCACAGAGAAGATTTCAATTTTTAAAACCCCCAAAAATGCCGGGGGGGGCACACAGCAGTGAACACGAGCAGTGTGAGGGGTTACAAATCCAGCACAGCACAACGGGGGACTTGGAAAGGCTGGGAAGGGCAAGAGGAGGGTGCGTGCCCATGGGTGGGGGTCCCCTTTGTCCCCTCTCGCCGGCTGGAGGGCACCCCGGGATGGACACATGTGCCACTGGCTGCCCCGAAACAGCAGAGAAAAGCTGCCTGCTGATTTTTTTGGAGTTTTAGAGGCCGAATGCGAACCTGCCTGTGTGCACGGACAGCCACAGGCCCGGCTGGATTCCTGTCATCAAAGAGAGCATTCATAAAAGAAAGAAGGAAAAAAAAAAACAGGGAGAGGCAGAAACAGGGCTCGTAAAGGAAAATTCCAAATTGAAACCAGAGAAAGAAACATTCGGATGCACAAATGTTACAGCAAATCCAGCTGTCCTGCTTCAGGAGTAACAAAAACCCCAGGATTTCACAACCAACAACCCCTTTCCCTGCAAAATCTTCCTCCTCCTGAGCCCGGCTGATTTTTCACCCAGCATCCAGAAGCCCACACCGTTTGCCCAGCCCCTGTCCCGCAAAGCTTTCATTTGCCTTCTGGGTACATTTTAAGCCCTTGGCTTTGCTGGTTGTTTGCAGGGTGAAGCCGGGGGTGCGGGGAGAAGCAATTTTGGTTCCTTGCAGGGATTTCTCATTGCTTTGGCCCTGGTGGGACGGTGCAGCGGGAGTCCCCTGTGTCCCCCTGATGGGACTGGGCCAGCCCAGTCGATGTTTGTAACCAAAGCCTTGACAAAACATTATCCCTGTGCCACCAAACCTGACTCTATGTATATATATATATATATGTACAAAAATAT